AGTTGTTAAGTTAACGATATGAATATGGCTTCCTCATTTACATTGCTTGTCAGAAGGTGGCAATATTACATGGAGCCCAGGACACTGCAACTGTCATACGTACGAGTCAGTTGCCAAGCACCTGGATTTGGATCATGTGACCATGGGGATGTTGCAACCAGTGCCTCTGTAACTTCAAACGGTCACTAAGCGAACTGTTGTTAACTCAAGGAGTACCTGTACATGCTAACAATGCAGCAAGATGACTCAGTATGTTGGCCTTAGCAAAGTAGGAGGCCATTTTGAGTTCTGGAGACCCATGAAAATTTTCCTCCAGGAAGGCACTTACTTTCTCCATCTGAAGAAGGTAGTAATCAATGAAGTCTTGTGGGTCGTGCAGTGATTGAAGTTCCCTGTGCTTCTCTATCTCTTCCTTGGCAAACGAGGTGACATCGTTTAAAGCACGGAACACTCTCTGATGACGTCCCGGAAGGTATTTCATCAACCATGGAAACAACTCATACAGCTAAAAGAAAGATGAAAAACAAAATCCTAGGACATTGATGTCATCAGCCAATTACTTGAGTTTAGCCCTTTGATCATATTGTCTGAAGGATTCATAATTCTTCAGGCTATGCAGTTTGTACATATTTGGTAAACAGCTTCTGGATGCCAGCAGGATGCTCTTTAGATTGAATGATAGCCGCGCTCCAAGATCTAAAGGGCTGCCACACACAAAAGACAGGGTGGGGTCAACCTATTTTCCAAAGCACCTGAAGGCAGGACAAGAAGCAACGGATGGAAACTAATCCAAGAGAGAAGCACCCTGGAATTAAGGAGAAATTCCCTAACAGTGAGGACAATTAACCAGTGGAACAACTTGCCTCCAGAAGTTGTGAATGCTCCAACACTGGCAGTTTATAAGAAGAGATTGGATACTCGTATTTTGAATCCACGTTAGAGAGCTGTAACGTTCACTTTACAGGATTGTATTCAAAGACTAAACGATCAACTTGAATGATTAAAAATATGATAGATGGGTAGGCTATGGGTGTCACCTACCCCGCCAAAAACAAGGCATGATCTTTCTAGAAATATTTTGCTGATTCATCTTTTTTTCTCATTCTGGTAAGTTCTTGAAAAACAGAATAACAGATTTGGAAGGGACCTTGGAGGTCTTCTAGTCCAACCCCCTGCTCAAGCAGGAGGCTTATACCACTTCAAATGGTTTTCCAATCTCTTCTTTAAAACCTCCAGTGATGGAGCACCCACAATTTCTACAGAATGGGACAAACTCACCACAGCCAACTCACCATGGCCAACTTGCTTTGGGACAACTCCAGCTCGCCGGAGGGCAATTTAACAATTCAGTTTCATTATTTAAAATAAATAAATAAACACTTTCATTTTTGTCAATCGCATTTCATTCCGTCCCTCTTTTTTCACCCTTTCTTTAATGATTCTAGTCCACCATTTCTTTGATACTAGTGTAACACTTGTCCCGCAGCAAGTTATCTCATGGTGAGTTGGCCGTGACAAGTTAGCCACAGCAAGCTGAATGTCAACTCATAAAATATTTCTATGGTTCTTTTAGAGTTGCCAACAGAAAGGGAAGGGAGAAAGGGGTTTGAAAGAGCAGTGCGGCAGCTTGGAAATCGAAAGTGCATTCCATAAATAGTTTTTCAAAGATAGTAACTAGGTGGCTGAAGTTTCTGCCACACAAATATCTAACTGGAGAACATGATTGATGACTCTTGCTACGGATGTGTCCCACTGGAGAATATGAATTATGATACACCCAAGGGGTGGAAGAAAACCAGGGTCAAGGGTGACAATGAATTATGCGTCTCAGAGTCGGCTGCATCCAGGCAGTGCCGAATATGTTAACTCCCAATAAATCCCTTTGAAGTTTTGGAAGATTGGCTCGAGACTCATGATTTAATTGGGGTAATTGCCGGAATCCAGACAGCGGCTATGGCAAGCTGACCATGGCAAATTGTCATAGACCGCAATTTTCAAAGACAAGTCATTGCACTGAATTGTGCTAACTGTCCGAAAACTGATGGTATCACGGAGGTATTCACGGAGGGCTCAGCAAGTCCTTAAAATAATTATCTTCCTGATACAGTAGAACCCCTGGTGATGACCATAATTTGTTCCATAACTTTGGTCGCAACCCGATTTGGTCGTGACCCGAACCTAATTTTGAAAAATTGACACTTACAAAAATATGGCATGGAAAGGGAAATCAGCCCCTGGGGGGGGGAAATTGTGAATTTTTTGGTCAGAACCTGATTTGGTCATGGTCAGAAGTGTTTGTGACCACAGGTTCTACTGTACTGTGGAGTTTCCGTTCACTGCTAAAACTCTTTTTAAAATTCTTTGCTTACATTGATAAATGAATCTCTCAGGGGTGGCATTCTACCGGTTCGGACCGGTTCTATGGAGCTGGTTGTTACGATTCTGTGCAGTTCAGAGAACTGGCAAATCATGCCCCTGGCTGGCCCCGCCCCTCTCTGCCCCTCCTTGCCCAGTCAGTCCTTATGGTATTTCTCTTTTTTTTCCGCCTGACATCAGCTGTTCTGACGATCAGCTGTGCCGGGATCCCCCTCGCTGTCTTACTGCTTCACCCAGGAGGCTTCCCTGAGGCCCAGAAGGCCAAAAAATGGAGCACGAGGGGAAGGTTTGCTGAAAAAAAAAAAGAAGAAGAAGCCATGCCCTCCCAGTCACATGGCCATTCCCTGCTAGCCTCTCCCAGTAGTAAAAAATATTTGCATTCCACTCCTGGAATCTCTATATTCAAAATTATCAGCAAGATGGTGGAGGATGCAGTCGGGGTCTCTAGAAGTCTTGTCTGACTCAGTAACCCAAAAGAAGACAACTCACCAGGTAAACAAAGCTGCCTCCAAATTTCATATAGTAATTCAAGTTTATTAACATTCTCTGGAATTTTTCATCTTTGGCAGAAAATCTATATCCAAAAACCACAATGCATATCAAATTGGAGATTGCAGTGGTGACAGGCAACGAAGGATCTAGTGGCTGTTCTGGAAATTTAAAAGAAAATCACCATCAGATTTGCTATTATTGTACTTTAACAATTTATATACATATTTAATGAGATTTCAGGACAAAAGGCAGGAGATACAGGTAGTAGTTGTATACCACTGTACACAATGGTGATCAGAATTCCCGTTGCTAAGCAAGGCAGTTGTTAAGTGACTTGCACCCGGTTTTGACACAGTTGTTAGGGCAATCACTACAGTTGTGAAGTAAACCATACAGTCATTAAGTGAATCCAGCTTTCTCCATTGACTTTGCTTGTAAGAAGCCAGCTGGGAAGGTCACCATTGAAGATCACATGACCCTGGGACACTGCAACCATCATAAAGATATACCATCCCAAGATTGATCACAGGCCACAGGAAGGTTGTGACAGTTGTAAGTGTGAAGACTGATTGTAAGTCACTTTTTTCAGTGCCAGTATAACTTTGAATACTTGCTAAACCAATGGTTGTAAGTCGAGGAACCTATAGTTGGGAATCCATCAAGCAACATTTATTTTTAACCATTTGGCTAGTAGCAGGCCCTGCAGAAGACTCTCACCAAAAGGGTAGAAGACACAGGCAGTTTCTTCTGGGACAGAAACTCTTGGGCATTAGGCTATCAAAACAGGAACTGATACAGTGAAATTGTTGACTCCGTGTTGCTCTGGTAGAATAAGAGATTCTCCTGTTATAGGCCTTGCATTCAGTTGGGACACAGTTCATGTGATCAGTAGAAACATGGAAAGGATCAACCTTGATATAAAATCTCAATATTAAACAATGTTGAGACTCTGGAAATAACGCAAAGAGGAGCAACAAAGAAAGATGATTAGGGGATTGGAGGCTAAACCATATAAATAATGGTTGCTGGAATTGGTTATGTCTAGTCTAATGAAAAGAAGGATGAGGGGTGACATGATAGCAGTGTTTCAAACTCTAAGGCGCTGCCATAAAGAACAGGGCCTAACATTAACAGATTAACAGAGTTGGAAGGGATCTCGTAAGTCATCTAGTCCAACCCCCACCCAAGCAGGAGACCCTACACCATTTTTGACAGATGGCAGTCCAGTCTCTTCTTGAAAGATTCCAGTGACGAAGCTCCCACAACTTCTGAAGGCAACTTCTGTTCCATGGGTTGATGGTTCTCCCTGTCAGAAAGTTTCTCCTTATTTCTAACTGAAATCTCTCCATGATCACTTTCCATCCATTATTCCTTGTCTGGCCTTCGGGTGCCTTGGAAAATCGATCGATCTCTTCCTCTCTATGTGGCAGCCCCTCAGATATTGTAACACTGCTGTAATGATTCCTCTGGTCCTTCTCTTCACTAGACTAGCCATGCCGATTATTTGCAACCATTCGTTGTGCGGGATCAACCTACTCTCCAAGGCACCTGAAGGCAGGACAAGAAGCAATGGATGGAAACTAATCAAGGAGAGAACTAACCTACAACTAAGGAGAAATTTCCTGACAGCGAGAACAATTAATCAGTGGAACAGCTTCCCTTAAAAACTTGTGGGTGCTCCAAAACTGGAGGCTTTTAAGAAGAGACTGGACAGCCACTTGTCTGGAGTGGATAGGTTCTCCTACTTGAGCAGGGGAGTTGGACTAGAAGACCTCTAAGGTCCCTTCCAACGCTGTAATTCTGAATTAATGAAACACTAGATATATCATTCCAAGACATATAGAGATTGTAGACAACATACCTTTTGCACGGGCAAAGATTTCAACCAACCGATGAGCTTCCTCTTCTATTTGATTCTCCATGCCTTTCTTCCCGAGGCCAAGTTTTCGCATAGTATTTAGACCAAACCGTCTTTGTTGCTTCCAGTTTTGACCGTTTGAAAATATAATACCTGAAGCCATCAGAAATCATTGAGGAATTAGGCTCATAAAAATTATCACTAAAACATCATTAGGTAGTTAAGATCAGGGGTCCCGCAACCTTGGCAACCTCAAGACTTGTGAACTTCAACTCCCAGAATTCCCCTGGCTTAGATGATGTGTGTTCTCATGCAAATTCTACTTGGCCATCTTGGAGATCCCGTTTTTCCAGCAAAAAACAAAAAACAAAAACAGGACCAGTGATGTCAAATCAGCTTCTGCCTGTTCCAATGGTACAAATAAGACTGGATCTGTTCCAAAGATCTCATGCCTTCTATTGAATCTCAGGCATTATATTGAACAAAACAGAGGAGAGAATAGAACTCTCTATTTTTACCAGAAAAATTACCCCTTAACCTTCATGAAAACCTACCTTTGTTTTTAAAGGCCTCTTTAAAAAAAGGAGTCATTTGTCGCTCAGCGAAGTCTTCCGTCTGAATGAGGGCTTCTTTGACAGCCTGATATCCAGAGAAGACCACGATAGCCATGTGTCCTGACCATATTGTGTAGATGTTTCCATATCGCTTAGCCAGCTGTCGTGATCAAAAGAGAAAATGAAAATATGATATTCAGTCCTGGTTGCTGATTGCAAATTATGGTATGGATGAAGTCTTTTCCAGAGCTGCAGAATCTGATCAGAAGTGTTCAAAATGCCTACATAGCAGGGGGCCAAGGTTACCTGCGGAAATGTGTTTTCTCCATTACATCAGCCTGACCCAGGGGTGGAATTCAAAAATCCCAGCAACTGGTTTGTGGCCATGGTGGGCGTGGCCTTCCAGAACGTCCTGTTTCCGGCTTCCAGTGGGCCTCCAGAGCCCAGGGGAGGGAGTTTTTCCCCGGACCTCTGGGAGGGCAAAAACAGCCTCTCCCGGGCTCTGGAGGCCCACCGGAAGCTGGAAACAGGCGCGTTTATGAACTTCCAGTTTTTCCTGGAGGGCCGGTTTTTTTGCCCTCCCAAGGGTCCAGACGGAGGCCTCCCCCAGGCCTCTATGAGAGAGAAAACAGCCTCCCGTGGGCTCTGGAGGCCCACCGGAAGCCGGAAACAGGCCCATTTCCAGACTTCTGGAAGACCCATTTTTCCCACTCCCAGAGCCTCCGTGCAGACCCTGCACTTACTTCCATTGAAAATGGGCCACGTGGAGACTCCTAGGTGGGGTGGTGCGGGACGGGCACGGCCAACCGGTCGGTTGAAATACCGGTTCAGCAAACCGGATGTAACTTTAACATTCAGTTCACCTGAACCAGTTTGAAGCAGTAGAATCCCAAACCTTGGCCTGACCTACCTGATGTGAGGGGCAGGTTGTGGACCTCATCAGTTAAAGAATTCTGACTGATGGGGTCCAGGAAGCGGGTCTAGGATGTTTAGGCACAGATCTTTAGCCCTACTTCCGCCCCCTGCCTCCTGCCTCAGCCTATTTTGAGGGTGGGAGTTGGTGGTGGTTGTTTTTTAACTTTTTTAATTATTTTCCAAATTTTGTTCTGTTGTTCTTTACTAATTTATTTGATTCTTTTTGTTAGTTTTTATTGTTTTTTTATTTTGATTTTTTGTTTTAGGTATGGTTTTACATTGTGTAAGCCACCTCGAGTCGCCATGGGCGAAGAGGCGGCAATATGAATTAAATAAATAAACAAATTTACAGCCAGCTTTCCTCCTCTGCTGGCCCTCCCCCATCCCTTCTGCATGGTCCTTCATCCCTGCCCATTTATCCAGACGCCATTTGACCCCCAGCCAATAGCCTCCAGCCAATCCGCCATTGAACAGTCACTAAATGAATGGTAGTAATCAAGACTACCTACGATGGCATCCTATTTTTTCCTAATGCCTAAATAATTTACTTGCAGTAAATAGCACCAGATAAACCATCAGGGAAGAAACAATGCTCTAATCAAGAAATTATTAAAGTAGAAATCAAAACAGGCAGGACGAGCTACCATAGATAAACAACCAGCAAATTACACCTTCCCTACACTGTTGATGTTCCTAGCCTGATGATGCCATCTGATTGCAATCTGAAATATTTTGCCAATAGTTTGAATAGTTATCACTGCATATGTTAAAGCAAACAAGGATTTACAGTCCTTTTGTTGAAAAAGACCTCTAGTTCCCTTTTTAGAAAATTAGCCAACCAAATTGAAGGTGCATGCCCCAATGTCTACAATAACTTGATGGAAACTAACCAAGGAGAAAAGCAACCTACAACTAATGAGAAATTTCCTGACAGTTAGAACAATTAATCAATGAAACAACTTGCCTCCAGAAGTTGTAGATACTCCAACAATGGAAGTTATTAAGAGGAGATTGGACAATTGTTTGTCTGAAATGGTATAGCTTTCTTACTTGAGCAGGGGATTGGATTGGAAGACCTCCAAAGTGTTTTCCAACTCTGTCATTCTATTAACTTTTAACTTTGAATTTAAAAAGTAAATCCTACTCAGAATTTAAGTTTGGATGAAAACCTTCATAATATTAAGCATGGAATTGTGTCATACCCCAAATTTGCATTTAAAGCTTATATTTTAACACTGTGTAATTAATAGAATTGGTAGAATACATTGTTTACTATTTCTGGTTTTAATCATTTGAATAATGTTAACCAAATATATTTTGTTTAAAATTCAACAGGGATACTGCGTTTTGACTAGCAAAAGGATGTAAAAATGTAATAAACTTCTGATAAGGAATCTGGATATATTAGTATCATGAAAGTTCCAATTTGCTATTTATCCACTTCTATTTTGTACTCTCTGCTTGATTTTTATCTACTTATTTCTTGTACATAATAAAGGGCTAAAGAAAACTAAAAGTTAGTTCTTTCAGAAAGAATCTTTGCACAACTCAAAGATAATGCAAAATTTATTTCTGTAATTTCTGAGAGAAATACTGGAATAGTGAGGGCCAAATTAAGTCACAGAAAACCAAAACACCTTGGAGTGTTTTATTATCTTTTTTAATCTGAATGCAACCTCATGTAATGCTGTTCTGGTTTTGGTTAAAGAATTAGTAAACAGTATTAGTAGCACAACCTTGAATAGTGCTATCTGCTATTTTGCCTTTAATATTTTAATAGCATTTCATTCATACATTGAGGAATGATATATTATTAATCTGACTATTATTCTTCAGAACTTATATGGACACCAATCTTAACTAAATAACTCTGTCTAGCTAACAAACAGAAAAACAGAAAACCAATGTGTGAAATTATTTTAAGCTATGAAATCATAATGGCAGGACAACATTGAAATTTACACGTTTACACACCACTTACTTCCATTTGAATATACATGTTAACCATAGCAAAATATACGGCCAGTCTTTTTGTTGTTCTATTAAAAATTACTTATTATTGCTAAACAGGTAGAGCACTGGTGGGATTCAAATAATTTAACAAATGGTTCTCTGCCCTAATGATTTCTTCCAAAAACCAGATCATCAAACAGCTCAGAAAATAAACAACCAATTCTCCCAAACTGGTGAGAACTGGCTGAATCCCACCACTGAGATGGAGTAGCAGAAGAGTCATTATGTACAGGTGGGAAGATAAATATGATTAAATCATGATTAAAGGATACAGAGCTATTTTATCACATTGGCTCCGTATCTGGATAATGAAACAGGAGGCATTTCTGCTGAGCCAATTTCCATCACTACCTTCCAGAAAACTCTATTGACCTGACAGGAAAATAATATTCTCTTTGCTAAATCATGATTTAAATCACAGATTTGGAGAGAAAGTACCTTGATTAAAAGTGTCGGAGTTACTCGAATTCCCGTCTGCCATGCGACTCCAATGAAAGGAAGTGGAAAGGGCCCAGGTGGATAATTTCTACGGGACCACAGTTGTTTCAGGAAATACAACACGATGCCAGTCAGGAACAAAGCAAACAACCATTTTCCAACTTCCTCCATTTTTTTTTAATCCGCTCTTGGTCTACCTCAAGCTGACTAAGCTGGATCTCCTTTCCACAGTAGATTTTGTCTTCCTGAAAGAGGAGGACTCTGTTTTTCAGCCTTTTATATGCTCTATGTTAAAAATGTAAACAACCCTTCTTACACCATATTCAGTTATGATAGGAATGGCTTGCCTCCAAACCTGTTATAGTAGAATATGATCAACAACGAGCATGCTTGCATGATCTTTATTTGCATAATTGAAGGGAAGAGAATTTGGCAACATGATTCTTCATGCCAGGTACAGTTGGGGAACTGATGTCATACTACTTTACCCAGTCCAGAACAGTCATGTCATCAGATCAGCAAATGGACTAAAATGGCAGCTAGGTGCCCAATCCCTCTTGGTTAAAGACAGAAGTGGTATTCAGCAGGTTTTTGACCAGTTCTGGAGAATCGGTAGCAGAAATTTTGAGTAGTTCAGAGAACCGGCAAATGCCACCTCTTACTGGAAATTTTACAGTATCCTTCCCCTGCCATGCCCACCAAGCCACATCCACAGATCCAGTAGTAAAAAAAATTGAATCCCACCACTGATTAAAAACCAGTGTGAGCAGTGGATTTGTGATCTTCAAATATGAAAGAACTGGATGAATTGAGAACCATCAACCTCACTAGGGAGATGTCAAGCATTCAGGAAATCAGGAGATTCAGGCAATTCAAATGAGTATAAAGATTTATTGCAAGCTGAAGTTCTCTATAAGAATCTGACCTATTAATGGTCAAAGGAAATAGTGTTGATTCCTGCTTATCCTGATGTTTCTTTTCCTTTATTTGTTTCCTCTTAATTTCTTTTTTTTTTTACTTCTGTTTATTGTCTCTGCTTAATTTCTCCTTTTTACTTGTTTTCTTTCTGTAGAGATATTCTGGGCTGGTTGGCTGTGCTGCTGCCTCTTGATTGGTTGATGGAGTTAATGTTGGCATAATGGGCTGTGTGATGGCCTTGTGAGTTTTGTTGTGAAGATATCCTGGATCTTGTGCTGTAATCTCCTGGGTCGTTTGTTTTGTAGTGATCTTTTTTCCATTAGCCTCTCGTGTTTTAACGGCTTGGGTAATGGGTTGTGTGATGAGCTTGTGAGTTCTTTTGTTGTGGTATCCTGGGTCCTGCGTTGTAATCTCCTGTAATCTCACAAAATCCAGGATATCTCCACAACAAAACTCCATCAACTCCATCAACCAATCAAGAGGCAGTAGTGCAACCAACCAGCCCAGCACACCAGCCCCCCCACCAGTATATATAGAGAGACGGCAGCTCCAATCACACACTGCTTGCTCTGGCACAAAGCCAAAAGCACCAGTCTGAGGATGGCGAGTGGGACCTCGCTGAAACGTCACCAAGATAATTTTACATGGAAAAAGACCCGAACACACGTAGACCTACATACCTGTACCCGTGAAAATCTACGAAAACAAATATACTGTATATATACATATACATATTGTGTATATGTATGGTATTCAGCTTTGTTCGGGTATTTTCCCATGTCATTATAGTTATATATACACACATACATGCACACACACACACACACACACACACACAAGGTACATATGTAGATGTAGATGTATGTATGTGTGTGTAAATAAATAAACAGTCCTGTTGATATATATCAAGTTGATTTATATATCAAACTTCTTAACTGCCCATCTTCCTCTTAAAGAAGATTTGGGTAGGAATTACTTCTTCCAGATTGGAATTTTAAAAAAGGTATTTTCAGGAAAGACACTGATAATGTGACTAAAACTGTGAATTTTACAATCTTTTAAGAGATTCCATTTTATCATACAAGTTAGAGGTTCTACAACAATATTGAATGAAAGCAATGTGAGAAGACAACCTCATTTCTCCATTACGAAATATGGCTATTATTAATATTGCTTCTAGACCCCTTCCAAGGTATAGAAAAGAAAGAAACTGAACACTCTGACTTTTTCAATAAGTGAAAGAAGCAATAATAAGTCTGAACGGTCACTAAAAGGATGGTTGTAAGTCAAGGATTACTTGTATACAGAAAGAGCTAGCACTGCATATATTATTATCCAATGTAAGAGTAGGAAAAGGAGGAAGAGGGACTTTAAGCTAACATGGACGCAATCCAAATTACTAAATATGGAGGTGGAATTTTTGTTCAAACAAAGAAACCAGGTGAGCTCTTTAAAGCATTACATTGCATAAAGATATGTCTCATTCCAAGCTGGTAGGATCCAATTGTTTTGAGATATATGCCTACCCATCTCCTTTGAAATTATTAGTTTCTTAACCATTCACAAGAACATGTCCATCTATGAAAATTATTGTACTGAGTAATATACCTTCAGAAGGAAACCCTGATGGCACATAAACACATTGTACAGGGCTATTTTGCAAATTTAGCCATTAGTTGTACTCACCAATTTCTTCTCTCCAAATGGAACTATCTGGATCTTTACTGTTGTCCCTTCAAATAATTTCCTTTTTCACCTTTTCTTCTTGCCCCTTCTCACAAAATTCTTCAAAGCTTTAACAAGCTTCTTTTCTATGTCCCATATAAGATTAGTTGTTGTTGTTTATATTTGTATGGCCCATTTAATTTTAAAGACATCAAGCAGCTTCTTTTAAATGTTCAGTGTAGTATCTTTTTCTATATCATTCATAAAACCTGTCATTTTTTAATCTACTTTCCGATCAGCATCAGTCTTTTCTAGTAAAACCTGTTCCTCTTCCATGACATCTTTTAAACACACTCTGTCTACAGAGGCAGACAATCTTAAAACAAATTTATCTGGGCTTTGATGGTTTCCACGGGGAATTCATCCTTAGTTTTGCAGACCTTATAAAGATAATCCTTAACTTATGACCACAATGGAGAGCAAAATTTCAGTTGTGGTCATAAGTCAAGGGATACCTGTATGTGGAAAGAAAGTTGACATAACCAGACACAGGTGTCTAGTTTGTCTAAGCCCATTGACTTGGTTCACAAAAATAGCACAGCTGTTGCCTTATTATGGTGGGATTCCCTGACGGACAATTGTCCACTTCTAAGAAAGATAGTGATAGAAACAGCATCTTGAAATCCACACATTTTGAAATCCATACATTTTCAAGATTGAGAAACACTGGCCTCAGTAGTGGGATTCAAATTTTTTTACAGCCAATTCTGTGAGTGTGGCTTGGTGGGTGTGGCTTGGCTTGGTGGGCATGGCTTGGCTTGGTGGGTGTGGCTTGATAGGGGTGGCAGGGGAAGGTTACTGCTAAAATCTCCATTCTCTCTCCACCCTACTAACCTACTTTCCAGCTCTGTTCTCCTGTGCAGGGCAACAAAAGAAGACCCAGCTGACCAGCTGGAACTGGGGAGGCAGAGAAGAGATGGGGGCAGGGCCAGACAAGGACCAGCGGAGACATGATAGCAGTCTTCAGATATTTGAGGGGCTGCTACAGAGAGAAGGGGGTCAAGCTGTTTTCTAAAGCACCTGAAGGCCAGACAAGGAGTAATGGATGGAAACTGAACAAGGAGAGATTCAATCTGGAAATAAGGAGAAACTTTCCGACAGTGATCACAATCAATCCAATGGAGCAGAAGTTGCCCTCGGAAGTTGTGGGAGCGCCATCACTTGAGACTTTCAAGAAGAGATTGGACTGCCATCTATCAGAAATGGTGTAGGGTCTCCGGCTTGGGTGGGGGGTTGGACTAGATGACCTTTAAGGTCCCTTCCAACTCTGATTATCTGGTATCTGTTATCAGTCAGAGGTGGTATTTGCCGGTTCTACAAACTACTCAAAATTTCCGCTACCAGTTCTCCAGAACTGGTTAGAACCGGCTGCATACCATCTCTGCCTCAGGCATCCAAATAAGCAGACTGACCAACAATTCTAGTCATCAAACTTCCTTCTTTGTATTCTGGACTCAAAACAGTTAATTGAAGGAACAAGAATCTCAGAACTCTGGTTATTAGTATTCAATGGAAAGAAAGCTTATATTATAACAGATGTTATTTATTTAGCGTATGGCACAATGGTAGGATTCAAAAAAATTTACTACCGGTTCTGTGGGCATGACTTGGTGGGCGTGGCGTGACTTGGTGGGCGTGGCTTGGTGGGCATGAAAGGGGAAGGATACTGTAAAATCACCATTCCCACCCCACTCCTGGGGGAAGGTTACTGCAAAATCCTCATTCCCTCCCCACTCCACTAACCTGCTTTCCAGCTCCGTTCTCCTGTGCAGGGCAACCAAAGAAGACCCAGCCAATCAGCTGGGACTCGGGAGGCAGAGAATAATTGGGGGCGGGGCCATTCAGAGGTGGTATTTGCTGGTTTTCCAAACTACTCAAAATTTCCGCTACCGGTTTTCCAAAACTGATCAGAACCTGCTGAATACCACCTCTGGCATGGAATATCATACATGGACCATAAAACATTTCACCTAGACTAGTAAACCACAATAAAATATAAATGTTAAAAAGACCTATGCTCAAATACCAATGTCTAGGCCATCCAAACACTGAAGCACAACATCATTTATATTTTTTAAAAAATCAGATATTGGACCGGTATATGCCCTTAGAATAACAATGAGAGTGTTGGAAGGGACCTTGGAGGTCTTCTTGTCCAACTCAACAGGAAATCCTATAGCATTTCAGACAAATGGTTGTCCAATCTCTTCTTTAAAACCTCCAGTGTTGGAGCAGTCACAATTTCTGGAAGCAAATCATTCCACTGATTAATTGTTCTCACTGTCAGTAAATTCCTCCTTAGTTCTAGGTTGCTTCTCTCCTTGATTAGTTTCCATCTGTTGCTTCTTGTTCTGCCTTCAGGGGCTTCGTAGACTATATTGACTCCTCTTCTACAGGAAAGCCCTTAGATATTGGAACATGGCTATCATGTCTCCCCTAGTCCTTCTTTTCATTAGAGTAGACATACCCAATTCCAGCAACCAAACTTCATATGTTTTAGCCTTCAGTCTCCTAATCATCTTTGTTGCTC